CTTAAGTATGAATCATAAAATTTAAAGTTAAGGCACGTAATTTCCCCGAAAGGGGTCACTTGTTTTAACTACTCACACCACCGTAGCGTGTTGTCTGTCAGTAGACACCAAAATGGCGTCACATAGGGGACGTTTAACTTTGCAATTTGTACTGTCGTGACGTCAGTAAAATGTGGGCATGCCATGATTCACGAGAAGAAGTATGCACTCTGTAGGCTGATATATGAACTTCGAAAGGAAATTAAAATATTTGTTACTCTTAATTTTGATTTTATTCACTTTAAACAATACTTTCAGGGGCCCTGCGGAAGGATATTTAGTGTTTTATACAAATAATGCTTAGAAGCTGATATAAAAACAACCTACTCTGAGTACAATTAACCATTTGTTAATCTATATAGTTAACTTTAATGAATGCCTGTGCGCGTTTTTTCCTCCATTTAAAATTGTAACTAAAAATGTTACAGAAGAACATTCTTTAAAACCAGATAAATAATTATTGTACTTCGATATACATCACTAGATGGCGCTACACACGTTTCCTATATTTAGAATGTAGTTATATTTTGTTGTTATTGGTATTTTCGTAAACATCTCGGTGCAATCTTTCATATCTTGGAAGTAAAAAATTCGAGTGTCACAAAAGGCTAGATATAGCTTATCTAATGACCTAGCTTGAAAGTTTCTACATATTGGTTTATAATACTTTAACAGCCTTTGCCTTTTTTTACATTTTCTCAAGGAAGTAAATTTGATTTTTTTTTTAACGCAAAGCTACACAGTGATCTATCTACGCTTTCTCCACTGTTTGATTCGAACCACAGATTCTGCATTGTAAATCTGTAAACTTATTGTTGATCCACCGCCAAACTTCCAGAAGTCTCCTATATGGACTTATCTCTAAGTCTAGAAAACTGACGATATGCCGACTGTTTGACGCTCTGTTCATACAACAAGTTGAGGTCGGTAAAAGGCAGAACCGTCAAATTTGGCGCAGACGTAGTTTAAATTTACGGGTTTGTATGGCCAAGAATCAAAATTGATCACGAGATTTTACGGTTGTATAAGTCAATGATAACAACTGAAAAAAAAAGTTGTACTGTTTGAACCAAAACACACGAGTTAAACCCACAAATTTATCGGGGGTGGGGTGGGGTAGGAATCACGAGATTGAGAAAAAATTCCAATTATGGAACTTAGATACTAACCGAACACAAAATAGCAAGAACTAACGTTAAACTTGTTTCAATTATATCAACAATGAGGTTATTTGTTTACTAACAACTTTGAGTGGGGGGAAGAGACACACGTTTACGTGATACTACTTTACACTACAGCAATATTCTTATGAACAACATCGAGTACGTTTTCTTAATGGATAAACATTGTTTGAAATACTATTCCAACACGTCTAAACTTCACCTAATTGAAAGTTTATTTTGCACTTCTTAAAGATAGGTTAAAAAATAAACAGAAATAAATTAGTTCTATAGTTAAAAAATGGAGTTTAGAGATCAATATTTTGTGAAGAGTCAATTCTATATTTAAAATAATTCTAACTTAATTCCATTCTTAACTGATCAAGCATTGATTGGAATTAAATTTTTGTAATTTCTATTTCTTTATTCATAGCTAATAAAACCTGTACATGCAACAATGATAGAAAACGTGTTCGTTAGTTCCATCCAGAATCATATTTTGAATTAGAAGGATAACAAGACAATTTTCAAGAATAATTTCGTTATTAACACTGCCATCTGTTGTCCAAGTTTTGGTTTACAGTTTTTTTTATAGCTTTATCACACGCTTCGTAATTTCTTTATCATAATTCACGTGGCTAGATTAGTGTAGAACAAATTAATTAAAATCTTGCCGCTGCTTGTCCAAACCATAGGATTAAAAAAAAACTCTCAATCTAAACTTCCTGTTCGTTTGTAATTTAGCTGCTTGTCCAAACCATAGGATAAAAAAAAACTCTCAATCTAAACTTCCTGTTCGTTTGTAATTTAGCTGCTTGTCCAAACCATAGGATAAAAAAAAAACTCTCAATCTAAACTTCCTGTTCGTTTGTAATTTAGCTGCTTGTCCAAACCATAGGATTAAAAAAAAAACTCTCAATCTAAACTTCCTGTTCGTTTGTAGTTTAGCTGCTTGTCCAAACTATAGGATTAAAAAAAAACTCTCAATCTAAACTTCCTGTTCTTTTGTAGTTTAGCTGCTTGTCCAAGCCATAGGATTAAAAAAAAACTCTCAATCTAAACTTCCTGTTCGTTTGTAGTTTAGCTGCTTGTCCAAACCATAGGATTAAAAAAAACTCTCAATCTAAACTTCCTGTTCGTTTGTAGTTTAGCTGCTTGTCCAAACCATAGGATTAAAAAAAAACTCTTACTATCGGTCATTCAAGAGTGTTATGAAACTATGACATTCATTATACTCTTACTATTGGTCATTCAAGAGTGTTATGAAACTATGACATCATTATACTCTTACTATTGTTTATTCAAGAGTGTTATGAAACTATGACATACATTATACTCTTACTATTTGTCATTCAAGAGTGTTATGAAACTATGACATACATTATACTCTTACTATTTGTTATTCAAGAGTGTTATGAAACTAAGACATGCATTATACTCTGACTTTCATGTCATAAATCCCTTACAAGGAGAGACAAGGTTTGTTTTTTGGGACATTTATTGGTACTAAGTATCTTCATAGAGAGTTAAGTGTTTGGATCACTTCAAACTTTACAGAACTTAAGTAAGCCTTACCAAAAGTGATTACATCATTTAAACAACACTACAATTCAGCTTAAAGGATAAGCTTTTGAAAATACAAAACAAAAAAATAATTCCACAAAATCAAACACTGGAAATAAAAATTCAATGGTAGAGGAAGTATACAACAGTTAAACAAGAAATATTTTATGATAAAATATTAACAATAATAAATCCACTGGAATTTCACAAGTTAAAATAATAATTCGTACAAATTACGATACAGAACACTATTCTTATGAATTTTTACTGAGTTTACAATAAACGTAACCAACTTGTTATTTTTTCCAACTTCGTAGAAATTAAACTAGGAATATATTACGTTCTCTAGTAGACAGTCTAGTCAATGAACTTGTACTTTACGAAATGTGATAATGTTTATTTCACATTACCTGTATACAGATATATATGTGTGGTGTGTGTGTGTGTACAAGTTTTGGTTTTTGTGATAAACATGGGACCAAGAAACACCTACTAGAAACACAGGTGCTTCTATTATAAACTATGATACGAAACTACCCACAACCATCGATACAATGGTAAATAAACCACTAGAGGCACTTGTTTAAAGTAGTAGCTTATGTAAAATTAATTACTATGTTATCTAAGTACACGTTTCTTACGCACTTATTCAGACTACTGGCCAATACTGAAGACAATCGTTTTTAAATCATCTGAAATAAACCGGGTTAAACACTGGGACTATCTCAATCGCTCGTCCATAATTTTGAACCGACAGACTGACAGCTGGTCAACAACACCCAAATCTTGGGCTACTCTAATTTAATATCAAGATTTTGACCACCACAATGGGAATCAAACCTCAGACCCTCAGTTTCACTGTCAGGTATACTAATCACCTGGCCACACATGGTTCACAATGCTGCTATATATAACTGTGAAAAATCTTGTTTTAGTAGCTGTATTTTAAAACACATTTTTTTCCAACCATCTTGTAGGAAAGCAACGATCTCTCAAAAGACCGGCACTAGTCCACGGACCAGCGGCTTAGAAATACTGCTTCGTGCCGTCCTTGTGTCACAGGAGAATAACCTTAGAAACACTGCTTCGTGCCATCCTTGTGTCACAGGAGAATAACTTTAGAAACACTGCTTCGTGCCGTCCTTGTGTCACAAGAGAATAACCTTAGAAACACTGCTTCGTGCCGTCCTTGTGTCACAGGAGAATAACCTTAGAAACACTGCTTTGTGCCGTCCTTGTGTCACAGGAGAATAACCTTAGAAACACTGCTTCGTGTCGTCCTTGTGTCACAGGAGAATAACCTAGAAACACTGCTTCATGTCGTCCTTGTGTCACAGGAGAATAACCATATATTTTCCAAGATTTTTGAAACTTCACAAATTGCTTCACAATATAGTCTTTTTAGATACTAGCAGCTCCTGAAATACCTGTATCGTGATAATCACTTGTCTGAAAAACCACTGCAATATCTCAGCCACTAAACATATCATCAAAACTTCTACGTTCTTCAACTTCTACATAAATGACCATAAAATTAATTTCATCATTTGTTTTTTTTATTTATCACAGACATAACACCAGAGTTCTCAATTATTGAAATATTTTTCAATAAAATGCACCGTGTCAAAATTCCTATTCATAAACAGTAACGCAAGCTAAAGAAATCATAAATTCACAAACATTTAATTTCACCAACTTATTCATTAAAGTAAGATATTTTGTGATGGTAAATAAAAAACACAGAATTAAATTAAGTATCACTGGTATTGTGAAAAATGCATTTGTTTTAAACTAATACTGATATGGAAATAATATCATCTAACAGACAGCAACACTGTAACCGTAGTTACAGCAAACACATTCATGGATAGAATAACCATAGTTACAGCAGAACAATCCATTGATAGAATAACCATAGTTACAACAGAACAATCCATTGGATAGAATAACCATAGTTACAGCAGAACAATCCATGGATAGAATAACCATAGTTACAACAGAACAATCCATTGATAGAATAACCATAGTTACAGCAGAACAATCCCTGGATAGAATAACCATAGTTACAACAGAACAATCCATGGATAGAATAACCATAGTTACTTAGAACAATCCCATGGATAGAATGACCATAGTTACAGCAGAACAATCCATTGATAGAATAACCATAGTTACAGCAGAACAATCCCTGGATAGAATAACCATAGATACAGTAGAAATAACCATGGATAGAATAACCATAGTTACAGCAAAAACATCACTGGATAAAATAACCATAGTTACATCAGCAACTCTTCTAATCCTTCTGTATTGGGAGAAATTCTAGAGATATTTGTACGATGATTAAGAGACAGATGTTTGGAACTAGATAAAAAGTCGCTATTCTGATTCCAATGTTGTGTATTTTTGAAAGAATGTGATATTGGAGAAGCTTGAAGTTGCTTGCCAAAGTTCTTTGTTTCTGTATCAGGAGGTACAGAGAGAACTGGTACAGACAGACTACTTCCTGTTGAAAAGTGGCCTTTAAAATATTGAGTAGGATTAAATCGTTTATCATCCAAGTTCTTATCGTACCCATCGTCAAAGCTATGCTCTTTAATCTTATTTGACAATTCCGTGGGGTGAGTAGCAGGCTGAATCTTTGATTCTGTGCTAAATAGTGAAGCCATCAATTCTGCTTTCTTCTTGTTCCTTAAATGATCAGAAGATTTATCAGTACTGACAATGCTGCTGGAAGGTTTACTCAGGAATGCTGTTCCAAAGCCAAAAGATGGTTTGTAGGAACCAAAACTGATATCCGTAGCCGAGCCTTCCGAAAGCCTTCGACTGTTAGATCTTTGGACAGATGGCAGGAACGTTGGTTGATTAGCACTGGCTGTCCCACTAACAACTAACTTTTCCCTGCTACGTACAGAATACGCAGAAGTTGAAGATCCTGAAAAAGGATTATAATTTTTGTCAATTTCCGTAAGTTTAGCCAAAAGCTTTTGTTTCTTATTTTGGTCTAACCCTGTCTGAAAATGTCCACTTGATGCTTCCTGTTGGGATGTCGGTGGATGTTCAAAGCTTGTGTTACTTTTATTTGGATAATTATCTTCCAACACATCTTTATTTGTCACACGAGAAACAACTGTTTCTTTCATGTAGAGTGGTGAATGGAATGCTTCATTGCTTTCGTCTTCTCGGTTCATGGATCTTGGAGGATTTGTTAAGTCTAAAACGGGAAATTCTGGAACATTTTCAACTTCTGTTTGTTGCTTCTTTCCGTTCTTATTTTCGATTCCTGAGGAATGAGAGACGGCAGCTAACGAAGGACTATCCTGGTTGTTTTTGTCTGCAAGTTCGTGGTAATTGGTCTGGAAAATTGTTTCTTTCAAGTCGTTCTTTAATAACAACGGTGTAAAGTCATTCAACTTCACATTAGCATCAACATCAGCAGACTTCTCAGTTTCTTGTGGTGTTTTACAGTAACGGTTATCACGCTGCACATCCTTGACCTGTTTAGCAATCTCTACATTGGATTTAAGATCTTCATCTCTTCTTGATGAGGAAAGTTTCTGGGTGGATGAAGTTGAAGAAGAATGCTCATCTTCCTTATCAAACTGAAAAAACAACAAAGAACTTCACACAATGTAGAAATGTTTCTCGAGAAGAAAGTTTAAAAGTATTTATTATATTTCATTAGAATGACATTTTAGGGTATAATCAATAATATTTGATGTTGCATCCTTAAAGTTTCAGTCTGAATTCAGAAGCCATTAAGTGGACCTGAGAAAGACTTCGTTACATGAGCTTATGACTTACAATGAGATGACTGGGTTATATATATTGAATAGTTTGTGTTTTTAAGAGTTACAAAAATAAATGTTACAAACAAACCGGATTAAATCACCCATTTTCTACGTAAAATATGGTAATTAATGGAAGTAATAGAAAAACTAGTAGTATTTTTGTTTAACATTCTTGTTTAACTATTATTATTATTAAAGACTCCCTAACCAGGAAATTTACGGACCTACAACCATGTTTGTGTATAAATAGTTCATAGTTCAACATGAACTCAACCAGTAGATTCCATAATCAACAACCTTTTGGCTATCATTATGGCTAAGTTGAAGGTTCACTAAAATGGAAACATAACACAAGTACAAACTTATTGAAACTAAAACTGGTCGACTTTTTTCTTTTTACAGAATGCTGCAAAGCTACTCCAGGGCTACCTATGTTAGCCACTAGTATGCAGACTGGCTCTAATCCATCGTGACTAACTTGTCAGTCCATGGGATTTAACAAAAACAAACACTGACAGAATATTCATACATAAATCAAAATGTTTCTTTTGTTGTACTTCTATTTCAGTGGTGCATGAAGGTTTAGAGAGGCACACTGGACTAGAGGATAAGTACCTTGTCAACACCAGGTACTCCAACAACTCTTTGGCTACTCAGGGCCTAAATGCTGAGCCTTTATGGTGACAGGTTTCAATCCTGTGACCTGCAGACTGTGAGTCAAACACACTATACACAAGGCCACACCAAGCCCAATATTTTAGCACTACAAACAGACAAAATGTTTTGTCATCATACCAATCAGTCATAGCAACCAAAAAAACTTGGGAGCATATTTTATAGTTTATTCATCGGAGAACAGTGTCTTTACCTAAGGTTGGAGTCATGTTTTTTGTATATGCTTCTCTTCTTATGTCTCAACTGTCAGTGTTGTGTTAACTACGTACTTTCTTATTTAGAAATATTCCTTCTCTTCTTATGTCTCAACTGTCAGTGTTGTGTTAACTATGTACTTTCTTATTTAGAGATATTCCTTCTGCTCTTATGTCTCAACTGTCAGTGTTGTGTTAATTACGTACTTTCTTATTTAGAGATATTCCTTCTGTTCTTATGTCTCAACTGTCAGTTCCTTCTCTTCTTATGTCTCAACTGTCAGTGTTGTGTTAACTATGTACTTTCTTATTTAGAGATATTCCTTCTGTTCTTATGTCTCAACTGTCAGTGTTGTGTTAACCACGTACTTTCTTATTTAAAGAAATTAATGTCTGAACTGTCAGTTCCTAATCTTCTTATGTCTCAACTGTCAGTGTTGTGTTAACTACATACTTTCTTATTTAAAGAAATTCCTTCTGTTCTTATGTCTCAACTGTCAGTGTTGTGTTAACTACGTACTTTATTATTTAGAGATATTCCTTCTGTTCTTATGTCTCAACTGTCAGTGTTGTGTTAACTACGTACTTTCTTATTTAAAGAAATTCCTTCTCTTCTTATGTCTCAACTGTCAGTTTTCTAAAAGTTGATGTTATCATATCAGGTTTATAAAACTGAAATTAACTGACAAGATTTCTTTACTTGTATTATTTTATGTCTTAGAAAATTAAACATGCATGAAAAACTTCAAGAAACCTTAAAGTTTTGAAAATATTGTTAAATGTAAGTTTACTATGAAAAGTAGAAAGCACACGGGGTGTTTGATTGGTAGTTATGATACTTCTGTTGAAATATTGTTTATGTATTTCATTCTTTAGCTTTACATGTTATTTTTATAAATATATCTAATAAAACCCTTATTCTGATTGAATTGTAAACACTGGCAGTTGAGACATAAGAAGAGAAGGAAATAAGACACATTGGTAATAATTATTGACACCATTAATCAGTTTCTAGCGTGATTAACGAACGATGATTAAGTCTTCCCATCTTCAACCAAGCATCTCGTAAGTTACTTGTAGTGATGATTAACGAACGATGATTAAGTCTTCCCATCTTCAACCAAGCATCTCGTAAGTTACTTGTAGTGATGATTAACGAACGATGATTAAGTCTTCCCATCTTCAACCAAGCATCTCGTAAGTTACTTGTAGTAAAGTGGAATTTTTAGAAGCTCAATATAGAATAAGGTTAGCCATTAGGTAGAAGAATTGTATGGCGTACATTTATATAAAAGTACAAAATTTTTCTTCCAGTAGAAATAGTATGAAGTTAAAACGTTAACGTACAGTAATGACTTCATGTTCTTTCTTAATCGTAGATTTTGGTACATTAGACAATAATTCTACTCAGACAAGAGAAAAGTGAAACACACCTCCTCACCGTCGTCACGTGGTATTGGTGACAGTGACTTGGCTTTTTTGCCCATTTTGTGCGATACTTCTTTGGACTTGATTCCCTTTTGTTTGTGATGGGTTGGTGTAGAATTTGTGGTGACCGAGTTACTGCGACGTTCGGCTAAAATCAAGGAATTACTGTAGATATTCATCTGTCCAGTTCACGTTCTTTATCCTATATTTGTGAAAGATAACGTAAGATCCTGCTTGAAATGAAGTATTTAATTTTCTAAAAACATTATAGCAACTAACAAGCTCATCTCGTGTTTACAAACTTAAAACTTTATGGTGGTCTCTTAACCTGAACAATTTTCAAAAACAGATCCATTTTATAAATATTACAATTACAGACTTTTATTAACCTCGGGTGAATCATAAAGAGTTACTTTAAATACATACACAACATCCACTTCTCATGATTTATTTAAAAGAACAAGAAAGTTCTAATCAGGATAGCTATTTTAAAGCACACGTTAAATTATCTTATAAACATGGTTCTGTAACAGTCAATATTTGGGGGGAGGGGGGTATGACTAAGAGTTTTGCCAACGGAATGGGCATTGTCAGGGTTGCATTTCTTTTTTATGCTTTATTTAAATAGTACTTCCAAACAATCCAATTAGGAATTTTATCACCTTTTGATGGGCAGCTGATGGATTTTTCTCGTTATTTTCACTATTTTTCCTAAATATTTGTTGCAAAAAGAAATTTTTTCCTCCCAAAACACTGATCAAAAATTTTGCTGACAGAAAATTGCATTTGTGTAATAAATACAATATTAGAGGGTGAACACCCCCTTTTGCTAAGCCTCTGATAACAATCTACAATATAATTTGTCTACTTCAAGAAAAAGACACATATCTTTTTTTATTCATATATTTCCATA